TGAGGAGCCTCTGTGCTACCAGCGTGTGGGCATCTTCTGTGTGCTGTCAGTGACCGAGGAACCTGAGTGCTGCCAGTGGCTGAGGAGCCTCCAAGTCCTGCCAGTGAGTGAGGAACCTCCAAGTCTGCCGTTACTGAGGAGGAACCTCCAAGTGCTGCCAGTGACCAAGGAGCCTCCAAGTTACTCCAGTGAGTGAGGAACCTCTGAGTTACTCCAGTGACCGAGGAACCTTCGAGTTACTCCAGTGACCGAGGAACCTCTGAGTTACTCCAGTGACCGAGGAACCTCTGAGTTACTCCAGTGACCGAGGAGCCTTCGAGTTACTCCAGTGACCGAGGAGCCTTCGAGTTACTCCAGTGACCAAGGAACCTTCGAGTTACTTCAGTGACCGAGGAGCCTTCGAGTCCTGCCAGTGACCGAGGAGCCTTCGAGTTACTCCAGTGACCGAGGAGCCTTCGAGTTACTCCAGTGACCAAGGAGCCTTCGAGTTACTCCAGTGACCAAGGAACCTTCGAGTTACTTCAGTGTCCGAGGAGCCTTCGAGTCCTGCCAGTGACCGAGGAACCTCCAAGTTACTCCAGTGAGTGAGGAGCCTCTGAGTCCTTCCAGTGACCAAGGAACCTCCAAGTTACTCCAGTGAGTGAGGAGCCTCTGAGTCCTGCCAGTGACCGAGGAACCTCTGAATTACTCCAGTGAGTGAAGACAACCATCTGAGTCCTGCCAGTGAGTGAAGAGGAACCTCCAAGTCCTTCCAGTGACTGAGGAACCTCTGAGTCCTGCCAGTGACCGAGGAACCTGAGTGCTCCCAGTGACTGAGGAGCCTACAAGTGCTGCCAGTGACTGAGGAGCCTCTGAGTGTTCTCAGTGACTGAGGAGCCTCTGAGTCCCACGAGAGGTTGAGGAGCCTCCGAGTGCCCCCAGTGGAAGCCAAGCCTTCGAGTCCTGCCAGCGGCTGAGAGCAATCGAGCCCGGGAGGAGCAATGGCAGAGGTCAGGGAGGAGCCCCCCGCGCCCCGAGCCGTGCGGGTGTGCCGCATCTGCGTGGATTTCCTGCAGAGCCCCGCTGCTGCCGTGGAGCCCTGCGGACACGTGTTCTGCCACGCCTGCATCCAGTCCCAGGCCGGGCCCGACGCCGCCGCCACCTGCCCGACCTGCCAAGGGCCCATCGGGGGCATCCGCGTGCTGCAGGGCCAGGAGAGCCGGGCCGGGCTGGCCCCGCGCCGGCCCCGCCGCCGCCTCCATCCCTTCGTGGTGCGCTGGCGCCAGCGGCAGCAGCAGGAGGCGCAGGAGGATGCGGCTCCCGGAGGCGGCCGGCGCCGCAGACTGGCCGATGGGGACAGGGCCCCGAGCCCTGTGCCCCGCCAGCGTCCCCGGAGAGAGCTGGATGACCTGCGAAGAAACGGGCTGGGACAGCGGCCACCGAGGGGAATTCAAGCTATGGCCGCAGGGGACAACCAGTACCGCAACCTCGTGTGATCTGATTTGATGTGGATCGTCCATGGCCCGTCCGAACTGAAAACCAGGATGATGAGAAGGGCCTCGTCTGATTTCTTCTGCCTGTTGTTTGCACATTACTTCAAGACTAGGAGAGTGGGAGCTGTGGGAGGGAAAGCATATAGTTTTAGAAACTTGGGGATAGAGTAGGATATTGATATTAGGAGATTAGGATATTAGGAGATTAGGAGATTAGGATATTAGGAGATTAGGATATTAGGAGATTAGGATATTAGGATATTAGGATATTAGGATATTAGGATATTAGGATGTTAGGATGTTTGTTAGGATGTTTGTTAGGATGTTCGGATGTTTGTTAGGATGTTCGCTCTGAAATAAACTTTTTTTTATTCAATTTGAAGTGTTAGAAAGCAGCATTCTTTATTAGCGCTGGACACACAGAAGTGTATCTCCTTTAATCTGATGTGTGTGGTGAAAGTTCACAACAGGGTATTTATTCCATCCTGATCATACATATTCATTACAATGTACCTCCCAGCTAATACGCAAACACCATTTCCCTAGAACTAATTTGATGCATTCGCCTTTTACTGGAAGTCCTTTTTTGGTCCTGGAGGTCATCTAAAGGGGGGGGTCTGGTGGTGATATTCACTGAATGCTTCAATATTACTCAATATACCTTTTTTGAACTTTTTCTTTGGGGATGCACTATTGTTTTTTGTTATGTAATTTGCAAAAAAAACTCCTCTGTAGTCCTCTATCTTTTTCTTCACTGGTCCCAGCTACATACCTCCTTTATGCACACCTTTAATCTTTTTCGCTAGTTAGCCTTAAAGCTCTATTCAGTAACTTCAAGGCAACTGAAAATTTCTAGTCTCTGTGTTATTTATCAAGTACATCCTTTTACAGAGACTGTCTCTTTTAGGCAAGTCCCAATACTTCATTTTCCCCGCCCAAAGTGCTGCAACAACTATAACAGTTAATACAAGTACACACAATGATTAGGGTGAATGCCACGAATGCATAACAAGTCAAACAAACATTAATAAGGGAAACAAACAGCAATAACTACAGCAGCCCCAAACAGAAGCAGTGTCAGCCTCTCTCGGCCGTGGGTACTTCCCCCTGCGCTGCAGTTCCGGGCACGGCCGGCAGGGGCGCTGCTGGCTCCCGGCGGGCAGGGCAGGGCGGGTGCTGTGATTGCCCCGCGCCTGCAGGGGGCGCTCCGGTGCCAGCTCGGGGAGCGCGCGGTAATTAATGGTGGCTCTACCGTGACGGGCAGGGACGGAAGGAAGGCTTGCTTTACAATCCATGGTGGTAAATGAGATTTATCAAACTCCACAGCTGTAGTGGGAACCACAGGGCGTCTCGGCAGGCAGAGAACGAAGAGCTATAATGCAGGGAATGCTCGGAGCAGTGCTGAAGAAGCGGCGGCGACAGGGAAAGGTGGGCTCGGCATCCCAGGGTTTTCCCCTGAGGCAGCCGAGCAGATGGTGAAAAGCCCCTTCTTTAGTGAGGTAGGGTGTTAATAGGGTCCCAATGCAACAGCAGAGCTCCACTCACGGTAGAAGAAAGGCAGCAGAAGGCAGAAGCCCACAGTGGCGATGAATTCTCCCCGCAGCGACTGCAGCTCTCTCCCCTCCGAATATTGAGCGCAGTAAAGACAAGCCGGACCCAACGCCGTTTCCCCAGTCCAAATCTCGAGGTATCTCTGCCCTCCACGGGAAACCTCAGGTAGAGAGAACTTAGCCAGGTGCACTCTTCCCCTGAGCTGACAACTTCTTTCGTCTCTCTTAAGTATCCAGTCATTACTGTATCCTGGCAACACGTATTGGGGAAAATTCCTCGAGAGAAAAACAAAAAAATCCAGCTCCTAAGACCCCAACAGGGGCCATTCTTGCTTGATTATGTGCCGCTTTGCTCATCTCTAAGGGGATATATCCGGGAAAGGGAATGGAAAAGGGAAAATCCTTTAAGACTCAGCATATTCTGAAGGGACTAGCATCCGCTTTCCTCACGGCCGGGGTGAGGACAGAGGCTGAGGTTTGGGGCAGATCCTCCTCCTCTCTCCTGGCCCCACAACACCCCTAGGGCTGGAGGAGGCAGCCTTGGCCACCGGCTCAAGGGCACTGCCTGCAGGAGGAAATGGACTTGGCTGGGATGGATCTCATATTTAGGGGGTTTCCTCTGAAGAAGCCCGGATCCCTTTCTGCCCCTCCATTCAGGGGCAGCTCCGTCAGCACCAAACTCCCGCCCTGCTCTCACCCGGCCCTGTGTAGTGAATGAGTAAAAAGTAAATGATATTTTTCTTCATTGCCTCTTCGAAGATTCAAGTTTGAAAATTAAAGTTTTTCTCTGCCTCTAGCAAAAAGCTTAATTCCTGCTTTATTTTGGAAAATAAACCCTGTTTGAAGTCAGGAAGAGAACTTGTAGTTGATACATCAGGCGACCAAGCAGCAAAGCTTTATATATGAGAAAATCAAGCAATAAACTTTTTGATACATCAGGCAAATTTCAGCTGGATTCCAACGACCAGCTTCAAGGGAGCAAACATGAATCTGCCCACGGGCGTGCTGTTGCTTTGAGGTGGATATGACATTGCCACTCTCAAATAAGCAAGTGCCACAGAAACTGCGGCTGCTAAATCTACAAAGTGTGGGAGTCTTTGCTGTCTGCTCGTGCCCTCCCACAGTGCTGGTCCAGCTGTCTCCACTGGCAGCTGTCAGATGGAATTCAGAAGCTAAAGACCCATTGCACTCTGTGAGGCAGCGCTGGACCCATGGTGGTAACACCTCCCCTCTGCTTCACTTAAGTATTCTTGGCTATCCCCACTTTTCTTTATGAAAAAAATAAAGGTTGAAATATCGCTTTGGATCCCAACATTTAACCTCGTTTGTGTTTTAATCTCGCTTTCGGGTATGTTTAGAATCTAATTCTTTCCTCAGTTGTGGATCGAGGCAAACTTGCCTCTCCTCCCCTTAAGGGGGATCTGAACACGCCTGCACCGGTCTGGGCCGGACTGGAGACATTGGGTGCTTTGATGGAAGGCTTCTCGTCCCCTGTTTCCCCTCACACAGGAGCTGCCGTGCGACCGGGAAGGTGCGCTCCCGGGGGTGTCCACGGGCTGTTTTGGAGTGTCCAGAGGCTGTTTCGGGGTGTTCTGAGGGTGTCCCGGGGCTGTTTCGGGGTGTCCCGAGGATGTT